TATATATATATATATATATATATATATATATATATATATGTTAAAAGTATAGTTTCCTCAAATGATTCTGGTGGCTGAAAATTAATCTATGGGGGCCAAGGCCACCATTGGCCACCCCTTGGCTCCACCAGTTTTCCTGGTGGTGGATAAAATGGCTCCCTCCACTCTCTGGGATCCATCACTCTGCGCTGCCTCAGACAAAAAAAAAAAACATCTCTCTTATTCTCCAGTGTAACTCCTACCCACTTGAATATCTTGCTCCAAAAACATTAAGGTTTACTTGCTCTTCAGCTGTAGCTCAGAAATTCAAACCCATCTCCATAACTACAAATATTCACTATTCAAATGCTTCAGCAATGGGGGACAGATGCATACTGCTTGTTGTCAAAGTTTCTCTCTCTGAAGCTCAGTGTTGGTTAATAAAACGTGTTTTGTTTCAAATGAACTGTTGAAAATTCTCTGTGATCTGTAAATGCATAGCTTAAACACGATTAACGGGCATCCGTCAGCTGTGGGTCATTGAGAGACAAACCTGTGTATTGTCAACATAGCTATGAATAAATGTGTCTCCTGATGAGGTTTTCCATCTTGCAGATATTAAACAGTATTTTAAAACGTGATGAACCTAAAGTAGAACCTTGTGGAGCTCCACATTTCAACCCATAATATTTGGATGAAGGGCTAGAGTTGTTGTTATTTGCAGGTGGTTTGGGCTTTGCTTTCATGAGTTTGGTCTTTTTCTGTTTGCAGCATTCCTTCCTCAAGCTGGCGAAGCCTCTGTCCAGCCTGACGCCTCTGATTGTAGCTGCTAAGGAAGCCATAAAGAACAGCAGTCGCTAAGGCTGGTCTCGCTGTCCGCGCCCGAAGCTGGAGCCCAGTCCGTGACGCGTTGCTTCATGCCGTCACAGGGTTTGGGTGTACATGTGGGGGTGGCAGTGACAGCACGAGGAGGGGGTTTTGTGTGACTTACGGTGACAGCACAAGGACAAACGACCCCCCACAAGCCTCGTATATAGGACGGACACCTGGCCTTGCAGCCTCTTGGCCATGCTGCTGAAAAAGACCTTGCCTCCTGTTTACTTCTCCAGCACTGTACATGTAGAGCAGTCTATCACGAGTATGTCAGAGTGTTAGTGTGTGTGTGAGTGTGAGTGTGTCTAAACACGTGCACATTTGTTTGCATCATGTCAAGTTTAGGAGGGTGTCTCTTCCTAAACTAAATGAAAAGGGTGCTTATTCTCTAAACCCTCTGTAGGAGTGGAACAAACATTTCTTACCTATCCAGCTGTTTAGTTTTGGTTTTCATTCCTCTTGTCCCCTTAATGAAGCCTAACCGGACCTGGACCCACAGAACGCTGCCGGTCCTCCACAGACGGTCACATCACAACCTCTGCTGCGTTTTATGTGTAAGTGAGCAGGGGTGCTACAACCGGAGGGAAAAATCTGGAATAATTTCACATAACCAGCTTTAACACCCTCAACAATCCATTTCATATCAGTTTGATCACATCTTATACAGTATATGATTAAAGCCATGTATTTATGACCGGGACTGATATTGGAGGCAAAATGACCCGTTAGCTGTTTCTGTTGCATCATTTTGTTTCATTTTTCTTTAAATTATTCAGACTACGGCTGGAAATGTGTGTTTATTATGAATTTTTGAGATTCAAGTAGAAGAGAAATGAACAATTCCCCGTATTATCTAAGAAATGATGGTAACGTAATCCATCACTTGTGGGTTTAGTGCCCCAAACGTCCCTTTTTATCCTAAAAATTTGAGCAGAAAATGTTAAAAAGTGTTTGAGTGAAATCTGCTCAGGTGAAAACGCAATGTACATCCTCACCCACCACCTCCATGCTTTTTAACGCGCTGCTCATCCAAGCTTTAAGTTGTTGTTTTTATTATTATTATTCACATTTGTGTCTTAAATGATTTGCTTTTTTCCTTCATTTCGTTGGACGTGCGATGAACTTTAGAGAGAAAAAATCCGCTGAGCAAAGCGAGGAGCGTCGAGTCCTGATTGTAGCCCCGGAGCGTCACATTCCTCTCATAGCTGGTGCGCAGTTTCAACTCATTCCTGTTCAGAGGTTATCTTTCGTCTTTGCTTTGTCGCGTTCTTCACGCAGCTTCCCATCGGTGCGAGTGGGCGTGTTTGTGCGTTTCGGGGGCTACCTCAGTCCGCACCTGAAGGTGCCTCGCTCGCGTTTTCCACCTTCAGTCTGAGGTGCGGCGTAGCTGCTTCGTCCCACTGGACCTCCACTGTTACAGGAAGAAGTGGTAATAATCAGGAGGGTGCAACAGATTCCCGTGCATGTAAAACAAATATACACTGTATTGTATGTATGTAAATATGACAGAACCCCCACCCCCCACTCTTTTTGCAGAAATATGTAACTAAACAATATTCAGGGTGCTTTTTGCAGCCTGGAAAAGGACAAACATCAACACACATGTGCTGACCCTGCACTTGTGGATCCACCTCTCCTGATAGGAACATCGGGCGGCTCCTGAACGCAGCGCTCCTGTACGGCCCCACCGGGCGGCTCCTGAACGCAGCGCTCCTGTACGGCCCCACACAGTCTGTCCAGTCCTTCGTCCTGAGTGTTGGTGTGTGCGTGAGCCTGTGTGTGTGGCCCCTGGGACACTTTGACCTCTGATCCTGGTACAGGTCTGAACTATGAGCACAACGGTGAACTGTGGGACAAGAGACACCGCTGAGGCCCCTCCACCTCCTCTGTGGTTGCTGCTGTACATTCCTCCCTTCTGAATGTGTAAACCTGTACACGTGGTGTGAAAATTCCTCTATTAATGTGTATCAAGAGAATGGAACAAAGACAAAAAATGTTACTTTTTAAATTATTATCTTTATTATTATTACTCTTATTATTGTCTAGCTTTGTAAAACTGCTGATCCATGTGGCACACCTCAGCAGGCCCTCCCCCACCTTTGGAAAAGGACAAGACGAGTTTCCGGGGAAATGAGGTTTTGGATAAATATTTTTAACTGTGGTTGAAGCCATAGACTTTTTGAACTTTGAACTGTGCATGGCTGTGTCTTGAGTGTAAAAAAAAAAATTGCAGTTTGGAAACGACTGAAATAAAAATCAAAGCGAGAGTGAGGAGGAAAAGCAGAAAAACAAATTTTTAATTCTTAAAGATGATCATAAATTGACATCAGGATTACAAATGGTATTTGAATATTCTTAAATCTTTGTGTTCGGGACGCTGCTGAGCTCACAGTATAGTTTCACTGAATAACACCTTCATAAAAGCACTGGTATAAAAACAGTTTTATAAGTTAAAAAAGAGTAAAGGGTCGACAAAAACAATACATTCACTGATGGATCTAAAGTGTCTTGTACCTCTCACTTGCTCATGATTCCCCAACATTTAATTTACAGCAGATAAAGTATCTAAAAAAGACCATCTATGGTTTTGATGGGAGCTAACACAACATGGTACTTCAGCCCGCGGGTCATGGAGGAGGTCAGATGGCCGTCAGCTGAGTGGACGTAACGATCCTCAGATTGATGTGCGGCATCTCATCGGTCGCTTGCTTGCCGCTCGTCTGCAGCACGAGCTTCTGAGGATTCGAGTTGTCGGTCGGAGACCCGGGCAGCAGAACCTGGCCCATAAACTCGTCCTTCACTGCGTTTCTGTTCCACACCTGAAGAACAAGTAATGATCGTCGGTCTCCTCGTGGTCAACTCTAAAAATAGCTTTTTATTTGTTTTCTTGAATTACATTCTGTGTCTTTACAATAACTCTGATAAAAGGCGCCGTTTTAGGATTTTAAAACCCTCGATTTGTTCAGGAGGGAAAATATTAATTTACTGTGCGACCCCAGTTTTGTCATAGTTGGTACGTTGTGTAAAATGTAAATAAATAGAATGGAGTGATTGGAATAATCTCATAAACCCATAATTTTTCCCACAGTCGAGCGCAGTAAACGCATCAAATGTTGAAATTTAAGAAGCGGGAACATTTTTAGAAGAAAAAAAACAGACAACTTCTGTAAAAAGTTTGGACAGGACCATGTTTGAAACACATGATCTGTGGTTGTGAGGTGGATGGTTGCACTGCCATATTCTCAGAAACGCCTCTGAAGATGGCTTATGGTAGAGAAATGAGCACCAGCTCTGGTGGACATCCGCACATTCAAAACTTCAAACATCTGCAGCACTGTGCTGTGATCACACTGCACATTTTTTAGACTGGCCTTTTATTGTGGGCAGCCTAAGGCACACCTGTGCAATCATACTGTCTAATCAGCATCTTGATGTGCCACACCTTTGAATTGATTATCGCCAAAAGAAAAAGTGCTCACTAACACAGATTTACACTCATTTGTGAACAACATTTGAGAAAAAGGCCTTTTGTGTTCATAGAAAGTCTTAAATCTTTGAGTTCAACTCATGAAGAATGGGATAAAAACAAAAGTGTTGCATTTATATGGTGAATTAGATTAGCAGCAAAATATTTTTAATTCTTCACAAAGATCAGTTTGATAGCCTTTTGTTAAGTTGTCACCCCCGAGTTCATTGTAACAAGCTTTTTATTGCAACCAGCGTGGCAGGAGCAGCTTAACGAGCCTTTTTTATGATAGGAATGAGTTTTATGACTTTATGCTCCATTATGGGTATAATTTACTCTGAGGCGTTAAAATGCTTCTGAATGTTGATCCCTCTTTGATCCTAAAATGAGGCGTGTCCTTCCGACAGATAAATAAAGAATCGGCAAATAAATTATGAGTTTTTCGTACCTCCACTGTTATGGGCTTCGTGGGCTTCTTCCTGTAGAAAACGCCGCTGGTTTTAAACTCTGGCTCCAAAGTGTTGTTGTGGATGGTGGACTTGACTGATCGGCCCTCGCAGGATATAATCACATACGGGTCAGCGCCTGCATCACAACGTGAAGGTTCATTTAGAAACAACGCACATTTGAAGGTGTTAAGTGTGGTTTTGAGGCAAGTCCTCCAACCTCCCGTTCTGTCCTGCTTCTCCAACCCCTCAGCTCCGTGTACGTAGACGTGAGTGACGGCCTGTGGGTACCCGAAGATCGAACTCCAGCATTTTACCTTTGGTTTGTCCTCCGTCAGCTCCCTGTGAAAGCAGAGAAGAAGACAAGTTAAGCTCCTTGGTGTTCTGACCGCCATCAGAAGACTGGAGAAGATGGATTCGTGTCGTCTTGTACGTTTGAGTCCAAGGCAGATCAAACCAGTCTGAACTGTCTGATCTGCCAGTAAAGAACATACAACAAACTTATAAGTAAAAAATGCCAAAGTTGTATTCCTTAAAACACAACTTTAGGTACTTTTCTTGGATGTAATCTATTGACTGAGCAAATACAACGTATTTGTTTTCCTCTGGAGCCTTTTACTTAACGATGATTTAAACTTTGGATCTTTGTCAATGTTGGAGCCTCTGATTTACACAGAACGAGCCGCAGGTTGTCGCTGGTCCGTGTCGTCACCATCTTACCTGCAGCCCGAGTCCACGTCGGTGAAAACCCGCAGCATGAAGTCCCCCAGCGTGAGAGGCTTGAAGGTGGTGGGGATGATGACGTACCGACCCTGCGTCAGCATGCACCTCATGAACACCGTCCGAGCGTTGATGTAGGTGGACGTCGCCACGTTCTCCTGGGTCAGGATGTCGTGCAGCCGGTACTTCCTGTTCAGCTCCACCTGGAAGCACAAGGAGACTTTAATATCATATTTTAGCACCAATTCAAAGGAATTCTTAGCTCAATGTCTAACTGGCTGAGTTTCATGAGTCTAATTTAAGTTTGTATAGCTAATCACATAATTTAACTAGAGATATCACATTTCCCGTGAAAATGCAGCGTGAATGCTTATTGCTGAAGATCTTGCTGAAAAACTGCTGAAATTAGCTTAAAAAATAAGCATGCCTAAATGTAGCTGAAGTACAAGAACAAATCTAAGTTAGCAGAAGAAAGTAGAAAGAACACATATTTGCTGAATTTGGTTGAAATAAGCAGAAATTAGCACAAAAATTAGGAAATTAGCTAAAAATAGCTGACGTTAGCAAAAAAATGTAGCTGAAAAGGTTTAAATGAGCTTAAACTACAAGAAGGAAGTTAAAGGAGCTGAAATGAATTCAAAAACTGTGGACTTAGCTGTAAAGCTAAAATTAGCATAAAACAGCCAAATAGTAGCTGAAACAACTGAAACTAGCAGAAATAAGATGAAAGGACCATAAGCTGAAATTAGCAGAAAGTAGTTAATTAGGCTGAAAGTAGCAGATTACTGTGAAAAACTAGAATGTATCTGAAAACAGCTACAATTAGCTTTAAATGTACAAATGTAGCTGAAAAGGTATAACAAGCTTAAATTAACATAAGAAAGCAGAAAGAACACATTTTCTCAATTAGGCTGAAAGTGAAAATTATCTTTAAAAAAAAAGCTGAAATTAGCATAAAAAAAGCTGAAAAGTAGCTAAAAAGGCAGAAAACCTGAAATTACAAGAAGGAAGTGGAGAGAGCTCATTTTTGCTGAATTAGGCTGAAAAAAGTGTAAATGAGTGCAAAAAATGTGGAATTAGCTGTAAAAGTTTAAATTAGCATAAAACAGCCATATTGTGGCTGAAATAGTAGAAAAAGCTGAAACTTACAGAAATAAGGTGAAAGGCGAACAACAAGCTGAAATTAGTAGAAAGAAGTTAGAAGAAGCACACAAATGTTGTCATTAGCAGAAAGAGCTTGAAAGGAGAATAAAACAACTGAATAAACAGCTGAAATTAGCTGAAAGTAGCTAAAAAAATAAGAAATTTGCACATGGAAGCTGAAAGAAGCTGAACCAGAACAAAATATGAAAGGAGCAGTAAAAGGTTGTAAACAGATCTAAAGATATGAAGGATGTAAAATGAGCTCAATTCATTTTGTTTGAGGAACAAAAAAAAAATGGCAGAAAAGGCTAAATATTAAAAAAGGTTAAAGTTGCACCAATACCAAAAGTCAAAGCAGAATTGTCCTGAACAAGATGAACATTTTTATATATGATTTGTTGAAATAGAACAAAAATTGTGGAACGAGAAAGATGCCGAAAAATGTACGAAAGAAAAATGGATCACAGTGAATGCTTCATGAAATTCATTCATGAAGCATTTCATTCACACAGTAAACTCGTTCTGAACCTCGTGGCTGTACTGAGGTATCCTGAGCTGTAAACAGATTATCCTTCTCTGTAATTTAAAATGACTGAAAAGATCAAAACTGGCAGTTTACTCAAACTAAACCAGCTGCTGTGTGACTTAGTGTCGTCCTTTTATGGCCAACGTGAATCTCAAACTGCTTTCCAGCAGCGTTTTATCGCACCATGTGCACACAGCTGCTTTATTTTATGAATCACAGCCTCTTTATGTCACCGACATTCTTCCCTCAACACTTCAGACGCTCTTCAGTCACCGTGATAAGAGAGTTCGGTGAGTCTGAACTTAGCCAGATCCCTGGGCTGGAAATACATCCATGGAACAAAAGTTTTTATCAAATGAGACAATCTAATTACAGCATGACGATAAAATCTATTTATAAAGAGAATAAAATATTAATTTGCCTTTTTACTAAATCTGTTTTGTGTTATCTACAGCTCTGTGTTGTCAGGTTTTTATGCATACTATCCCCTCCTATGATCTGCAGCCACTCCAAGTTTTTCTTTTCTTTTCTATGTGATCTAAATACAAACACTGAACAAGAACAAAGATCCAGCTGCTCAACCCGGAGAGAGAGAACTGAAAGTCTTCAAGCTCCAATCAAAAACCAGAAACCGGCCAAAGTCTCAGCAAAAAAAACTACAATTAAAAAAAGAAACTTTCAACTATTTTTAACAATCTTGGCAAAATGTTTCTCATAAACAAAGTACTGCATACAGCTGTCTATAGCAGTGGCCTGGACAAGCAAAGACTTTGTACAACATTTGACCTTGACTTGTTACCTTGACCTTGAAGCTGGGGTGATAGAAAGTGTATGCAACGCTCTATCTAATGATGATGCATATGTGTATGAAACTTTGTTAAATTGTCTTGAGTGGATCAGAAGTTATAGGCACGACAAGGGGAATGTTTTGTACAGACAGTTCTACTGTAAACTGTTCAGCAGAAACACAATTATTTAAAAACTGCACGATAAATTTTTGGAAATGAGAATAAACTTTTTTTAGAGCCATGTCACTCACTAAACATCCACCGACTGTTTTAGGTTTACAGTAGTCCCTCGCCACTTCGTGGTTTGACTTTCGCGGACTCGCTCTTTCATGGTTTTTTAAAGTAAGATTGTACACAGTAAAAAAATATTGTACATGACACATGATTGTCAACTTTAATATTACACACGTGATGGGGATAGTACAGGATACTGTACAGTAAAAAGTTAACGAAAAATAAAATGTTTCGGACAGGCGCCGCCATTTTGTAGTTTTCTCTCAATAAGCCTATACTGTATCGCCGCTCATAAGGACTACATTTCCCAGAAGCCAACGGTGGCCAGAAGCCGCATTGCCTTCTGCTGAAATACTAGAAAAGATCTGATTGGAAAAAGTCCAGTCCTTATTCATCCAGTGACATCGGCAGCCAGTGGATGTAGCGAGTCTCATGGAACCCACCCGGAACCGGACCAGAACCAGATCCCCAGTCTCATGGGTGAACTCAAGAGCTGCTAGCTGACCCATAAGGACTTCCAAGCAGAGACTCTCTGCCAAAATTCCAGCTTCTCTCTGGAGCCCACAGCCACTACCCCGAGCCAGAGAGCTGACCAGAACCGACAGGGTAGGTCCGCCGAAACGGAACCGAGCCGCTGCTGTTCTGCTGAGTAAAATTTAGTAGCTACATATACGTATGTTGATAAAATGATGTAAGTTCAAGAGTTTAGAACATTACAAGAGCATGGGAAGGGTTTCTAAAGCATTAAAATATAAATAAATACTAAAATAAATAAAACATTCCTACTTTGCAGATTTTCACTTACTGCAGGGAGAGGGTCCAGAACATAACCCCCACAATAAACAAGGGACTACTGTATACATTATGCACGTTCGCCTGTTTTTAAGTGTTTATTTTTTATCTTGGAGATCTCCTGCTTCTCCTCATCACGTCTGAATGACCCCGGAAAGACGTCGCTCATACGCTTTATATCTCACACAAGTCGTTCTGCAGACTGACGGTGCAGCTCTGTAGCTGGACAATAATTTGGGTTTTTACCCTGAAGACGCTGAAGCCGATGGTCAGATTCTCCCCTTGGCCGTATTTTCTGTGGACCTTCATGTCTTTCTGCTGCAGGGAGATCAGCACCTCATCCGACTCCTTGCTGACGTCAAACAGGTACTGTGAGGAGGAAGAATCGTCGAGGAGGAGTCAGTATGCGTTCAGGTGTAGAAGCATCTGTCTGACAGTGAGGATAGAAGACAATGTGTCCAGCAGCACCTGAGGGTTCTGCAGGAAGGTCTGCTTGTGGTTGGCACATCCGCCGCAGCGGTTCAACAGCGGCTCCTCATTTTTGGTCCAGCTCCCAAAGTGCACGACCTCGTTCCAGGTCTTGTGGATGCTGATCACTGAGGTGTTGATGACTCGACAGATGTCTGCATCTGTGAAGAACTTGCACCAGTCGGTGAAGTCCATCCTGTAGACGAGAACAGCGAGCACGTTGCTACGTCACAACCGGGCAGGAGAGACAGTGTAACTAGAAGAATGTCATTTCCTGTGAGAACCCAGTGAGAATGCCTATCGCTGCAAGCGGCTGAAATGTTTCATCACTAAACTGTTAAAGAGGGGTGAAGATGAACAGCTGGCATTTGCTGAAAGCAGGAAGATAAAAGCAGACAGGAGTAGAAAAACAGCCGAAAGGTTTTTTAAAAAGCTGAAGACGGCAGAAATGAGCAGAATATGCAGAAATAGGCAGAGAGGCTGAATGAATTATATAAAAATATATGAAATTAGCGAAAAAGAACTGAAATGAGCACAAAAAATGAGTTGAAAATGCAAAATGCAAAGGCTGAATTTGGCAGAAAAAGGCAGAAAGAATTTTGAATAATTAGAAAGAAACAAAAAAGGCCAAAATTAGAGAGAGATTTTAAAAAATGCTAAAATTAACCAGGAGAAATGGCTAAAAAGTAAAAGAAAATACAAAATCTAAATATGAACAACACAATACTTGAATTGGCCTAAAGAAGCTGAAATGAGTAGAAAAATAGCTGAACAGGATAAAATGAGCAGATAGAAGCTGAAAGGAGCTGACACAAGCTGAACCAGAGGAGAAGTTGAAATGAGCAGTTAAAGGTTGTAAACAGCTCAAAAGATTTAAAGGATGGAGAAGTCCATTCATTTTCAATGAGAAAAACATGGCCGACAAAGACAAATACTGTATCTCAAAAAGTAAACGTTGCACAAAAACAAAAGACAGCGCAGGAATGTCCTGAATGAGCTGAACATTTTGATTTATTGTCGAAGTTAAACAAAAACGGAAGAACGAGTTACGAGCTGAAAAACAAATGGAAGATAACCGGATCTCAATACTGAGGAGGACTCAGAAACATTCAGAGTGTTAAAGGATCTATGAGGACGTACCAGAACTCCCCGTCATCCTCCACAGTGATGCCGAGGTTGCTCCTCTCTGTGTCGCCAACCTTTGCCCATTCCTCCGAACTAAACATACAGAACGTTAGACACAAAAAGATTTATGCAGTCTATGTCGCCTTTTTAAACATTTTTACATTTGAATGAACGCAAACAGACAAAAATGAAAGTTTTATTGTAAAGCCATGGCTCACATTTTTTGACATGCAGTCCTATGAAAAGGTTATGAACAGTAAATATCTTACCTGTAGTAGTTAGAGATTTGATAAGACATTCGTTTGGTAAAATAGAGTTTTAATTCTGATTAAACTGATCTCATAGCTAGTCAGAGCATCAGAGCTCTCATCTTTAAGTCTTCAATCTCAAAAATGTCAAAGCGTTTCATGCAAACGTTTTATAAACCTTTACATCGGCATCAGCAGCTAGCTGTAGTACTTCCTGTGCAGCTTGGAGCACTTCCTGCAGGAGCACTGTAACATCTCTGCCTGAATAACTGCCTGAATGCAATGTGAAACTAGAGCAGTGTAAAGATTTTTACAATTTTTTTTCTCTAGTTTTTAAAACATAGTTTTGTGATAATTGAAGTTGAAGTTGAGGCTTTTGAAAAAGCCCCTTCACTGCCATATATGGGGTGTGATGTCACACCAGGGACCCTTTCATGCGAGACCCCCAGATTTCTTTTGTACAAGGTTACGTTCAAATGTTTCCTTAGAATTTCTGGCAAAAATATTTGTGGCAGGAACAACATGTCCAATGGGTGTGTTGCACAGTTCAGTGGGAATACACTGCATCCATTCTTTCCAGAAAGTCAAGGAAATTCATGAGAAATGTGTGAAATTTGTCAAAATCAAACAAACCATTCAAACGACTGTCGCCTAACAGTGTTCTGTGTTCCAAACACCTTTCAAGCTGAAGACTATGAGTCTTAAATGATGAAAAGTTTGGATTTAAGGGAAAGTTTAACACCAGACTGAAGGAAAATGCTGTGCCAACTATTCAGGCAGATCCACCGTGCACAGGAACTGGAAAACTTGAAGGATCAGACACGGGCAGACGCACATTGACAGTTGTGAGGTAACGGTAAGTTTTTGGGGTAAGACACTTGGTATAAATCTGCTTTTAAATGGTGTTGATAGGCCAACATAAGTTTTGTGCAGCAAAACTGCCCTGCAGAACCTCACTGACCTACACAAGGCAAGGTCAGTGAACAAGGCTAGGCTGATTCTGGCAGATCCTGATCATCACTCCATGGTGGGTTCAGGTTGCTTCCATCTGGACGCAGGTATCTACTGTCCAGATGTAGAACGAACAGACTGAACGACTCATCCATCCCTGTAGCGATCAAGCTTCTCGATGAACACTGATGACTTCCACTGTTTTTTTAATGTCTTCATGTCTTAATATTTTGTGTGTCTATGACTGTGAAACAAATTGACCCTCGGGGAAAATTGAGATTCTTGATTTTGAACAAGTAAAAACAGAGTTATGATAAATAATTCACACCACACCTTTTTCTGAAAATGATTGTCATGTTTGAAGCGTGCTGGAGCGGGAGGGAGCAGCGAAAAAACATCCCAATCCCCACTTTGATATCACCCCCTCCCCCACCGTACAAACAACGCCCCCATTCCTTTCTGACTGAGGCCCGAAGTTATTTGTGAAGCGCCAAAACTCTACAGGAAAAGAAGAAAGGCATAAAGTTGAAGGAAGTTTGGTGGCGATAGAGACACGGCAAGATTTATGATATTTAGCATGTTTGGCTGTTTTATTTAGCGTGTAGTGTGGTGTGTTTAGTTTAGTCAGTTTTAATGTGTTTGAGTCAAAACAAGGAGGCAGGTTTTGACCATGAAGCTGCAGTTTCTGTTTGACGTGGGGGATGGAGATGCAGACCCAGAGATGGACGGAGCAGCAGAGTCAGAACCTTTTCAGACAGAAAAGGCAGAGATGAAACAGAAAAACTGTCTGAGAGAGACGGAGGACTTTGATGGGAAAGTGGGAGATCCCACTCCTAAGAACACACTCCTGCCCATGAATACACTAGGGGTTGAATAGACTAGTCGACTAGTCGATTCTACCATACCATACCATTTTATGTATAGAGCACTTAAAACAGCGACAAGGCCAACCAAAGTGCTGTACAGACAGAACAACGGGTAACACACAAAGCAAAATACAAAATCAAGTAAATCAGAATATAGACATAAAAATGATGCAGATAATAAATATGACGACTAACCAGTGTGGAGCGTACAGGTTCAAAACACAGATCCTCTGGTGTTGAAAGCTACTGAATAGTAGTGAGTTTTTAAACGGGATTTGAAAACCGAGAGGGAGGGGGCCTGTCTGACAAACAGAGGTAACTCGTTCCAAAGTCTTGGTCCTGCTACAGAGAAGGCCCTGTCACCTCTGTGCTCAAGACGAGTTCCTGGAACTGTGAGGAGCAACTGGTCCGCTGACCTCAGGGAACGTGGAGGGACATATGGTTGTCGCAAATCAGAGAGATGGGGGGGCTGAAATTGTTCAGTTCAGTGATTTGTAGACATACAGGAGTATTTTGAACTGGATTCGAAGGTGAACCGGTAACCAGTGCAGTGAGGTCAAAACTGGTGTAATGTGCTCTCTTTTGCCTGTACTGGTTAAAAATCAGGCTGTGCATTCTGGACCAGTTGTAGTCGTGCTATAGAGGTCTGACTAATACCAAACAGGAGGGAAATGCAGTAATCGAGCCTAGATGTAATGAATGCATGTATTACTGTCTCCAGGTTATTTTTGGACAATATGGTCTTCAGTTTAGACAGCCGCCTCAGTTGGAAGAAACATGATTTAACAATCATGTTTACATGATTGATAAGTTTCAGGGAAGGGTCCATTATCACGCCCAGATTAGTGACTCTTTGTTTTTCTGACAGGGTTAGAGCGGAGAGGTCGATACTGTGGTTTGTGATCGTGTCATTGGGAGGGAATTTAAGAATTTATCTTAGATGTTATTACTGTTTTTCTTATACATTTTATTGTTGGATGTAACTGGGACCCTGCGTACATAATTTCGCTCCACCACATGTACCACATGAGGTGCGAATGACAATAAAGAAACTCTGACTCTGACTCTGACTCTGAACAACATGACTTCAGACTTCTTTTCATTGAAACTTAAAAAGTTTAAAGCCATCCAGTCCCTGATGTCAGCCAGACAGTCGAGCAAAGGTTGAATAGAGCATGTACCATTGTGTGTTAGGGGGAAGTAGATTTGACAGTCGTCGGCATAGAAGTGAAACGGTATGTTGTGTTTCTAGAAAATAGCACCAAGGACTCTAGGACATGTTGACTAGTCTCAGTCGCCACCGCTCGCCCCACTGTTCCCACCCCTATTCCACCCAATCCACATGGTGGATTAAATAAAATAAAACTAAAAACAGCGTGGCGTTAGAGATGTCATTTCTAGCACGGCCACGCCCAGTCCAAGCCAAAATAACATGTTGGATGGGTGGGTGGTTTGGTGTCGGGCTTTTGACTGCATCAGTGGACACGCGTGGCTGACTATATGATTTGGATCACCACCAGCCGTGCTGACCGGCCGGTTAAAAGACGTACAAAAAAGTTTGGACGGTGACCCACCTGAAGCTTTCCAGCTGCTGCATCAGCGGACGTACGCAGCCAATGACCATTAATAACTATAATAACTATAATATTATAATAAGGTGCTCCGGCACCGTCCGCCCCGTTGCCCTCAGCCTTGTTTTTTACGTGCCGCACGTTTCTTTCACTTTTGCAGCTTAATAATTGTTTTGGTTTTCCTGGGACTTATTTGCAGCATGATAAATGGTAGGAGCATAAATATACACCCAATGTTTTGTTGTTCTTTTATTTGTAAATAACAAATTACTTTTTTTTTTTGCATATATGATATGATGATCTTGAGTTCCTATGAAGACAGCGACTAGTTGACGTCGACTCGACTTTTATCATGTTAAAGTCAACTTTTAAAAATATGTAGTCGTTCAACCCTAGAATACACACTTCTGCCCATGTCCCTTGTCCCTGGCATGATGTAATCATCAGCTGTGTGCTCGGGTGTTTCCTTGATTGGTTTGTTTGTTTGTGACTTGCGTAGCAAAATTTCGGAGAAAAAGTAAAAATAAAAAAATATTTGATGACAGTGATTTTCCCTTAACAGCACTTGGAACTACTATGGTGGGCGTTGGACTTTAGATGTAACTGTCAATTTAAACTCGTGGACAATTTAAAAGAAGTTCAAAGAGAAACTTTTAGAAGGACTCCATTTTGTCTGAGTCAGGTGTGATGCCTCACCAATGCACACACAATGGTTAGAAGTGGTCCTAAACAACCTTCCTGACCTGTCACTCCATGCTCCTTTCCACTCAGTCTTGCCCCAGGGGTTCCTCATCCGGATGAGAGGGATGGTTTCGTTTTTAAAGTAGGCCAGCAGCCCGTGACCTAAACGCACTCGCTTCGCAGCGGTGACCGAGTACGCATGGCCTTTCACCAGCCCATTCGCCATCCTCAACTCGATCTCATGCGGGTCTGCCTGTGAAATTCAGAACAAGAATATGTTAGACCTGTTGTCTTGCAGGTCAAAAGAAGCAAACATGCAGAAGCAGCAGCCACCTTGATGGAGCAGCTGATGATTCCTCCTCGATCGTACACTTTGAGCAGGTCTTCATACAGCTTGTCTTGTCTTTCCTGGTCTTTGTAGAACGCCTCCTTCTCCAGGTCGATGGCTTCGGACACAGCGCCGCTGAAATCTACCACGGCATCTCCAGTGTTCCCCCCCTCCAGGGATTGGTAGCAGCCCGAGAGCCTAGAGAAATGAATACAAATGTGAAGCATCGTGTAAACAAAGATTACCTAAAGGGACTTGTTGGTTTTCGTTTTACTGACTTGGCATAGGCCTTCTCTAGCAGAGCGCTCCAGAACTCGTTGGTGCTTTTGGAGTGGCAGTAGATGAGTTCCCCGTTGATCGTGGGCAGCCGGTCGTCTATCACCACATCTGTCCACTCACCGAAGATCCAGAACTGAAAGTGGAAAATCCCGGCATAGTTTTCAGGGTGGTCTGAGTCCCACTCCTGCTCCTTCCAGTCTGGAATGACCTGGAAACATAAAAAAAACAAGAGTAGAACTCACCTGTTGATGACTACCACCAAATCCAAACCGTTTTAGATTTTACCAGAACCAGAACCACTCAAGGTTTCTTTGGTGGAAGTGGTCTTTATAAACAAAAATTTAAAAATCCATTATGGAGACACAGTTGGAGGACATTTTCTGTCCTAAACATTTGTAGAGGTACAGCATGGACAACTTACTGTGGACTGTCCATTAGATGGACAGATAGGGACAACTTATTGTGGACAGTCTTACAGTTTTTCTCAATAGCTAAAATACTAAACCAGTTTGTATGAACCAAATGCTGAGTGCCCTGAACCCATTTATTAAAATGGTCAACCATTTGGCAGAACCTTAAGCACTTTTAATAATATAATGGTAAGCACAGGTAGCAAAAGAGAAACTCAATTAAAGCACAGGTATCTCAACTTAAAAACACCTACTGGTGTGGGGACATCTATGTTGTCCCCACACCAAGAGACCCTCATTGTTGACATGGTCTGTCAGAGCAATGAACTCAAACTGCTTGAAATACAGCAGAAAATCATTGAAGACTTCTAAAGCCTAGATGCAGCTGCACATCAAAATAATTCTGTATCTCACTTACTTTTCAAGTTATGTACACAACTTGCACAGCCAGATGGAGCATATTTCCAATTCCCCCTTTAGACTCAGCAAAGAGTTGGAGTTGTTTGGTCAAATGAGAGATAATCCTGACACTACTGCAAAACTTGGTTCATGCTGACATAAAATTCTAACAGTCTGGTGATCAATGGTGAATATTTTCTTTAGATTGAGAATAAGAAGATGAGGCAAACTCACCTTCTTCCAGAGGTGTGGCTTTAAAGCCAAACAGGAGCAGGCTGCAACAAACCAGCAGTTTCCCACAACCCCCTGGTTCAGGTCGTGGGAGCTGATACCCTCAACAAACAGATGAGGCTCTGCTGAAATCTCCTGTGACACAAGAACAACATTTACCTCGTTCATATTCGGTGAAATGTTCGGCTGGGTGTCAGGGTTGACCCGCTTCCTGTTGTGCCTTACCCTCGGGCGTTTCCACTCCACCCTGCCAGGAGGAGATTTGCTGTAGAACAGAGATGTGTTTGTGGCCGGGAACTCGGGGTCTTCAAACAGCTTCTTGTCCTTGATGCAGGTCTTCTTTAGCTCGGCATAGTGCTGGTTTTTGTACGGGACCACGGAGGATGACATGGTCGACACGCTGAGGCCTCACAGCTGCAGGTGAAAGTCACGACAGGAGAGGATTTCAGTCTCAGGTAGATCATTTTTTATTATTGCAGTTTACTGCAGGCTGACCTCTGACCCTAACCCCTTTGAGGAGTTTATTACTGAGTAGCTGTCAGAGTTTGTCTGGTGAAAGATGAAAGGGTTATTTAGGAAATCCTGAAACTAAAACCTCCATTCATCTATTATCTTTTCTTATTTTATTTAATGTTTATTTATCCAGGTAGTCTCATTGAGTCACGAGGACTCATTTTGAAGAGAAACGTGTTTGGGAGCGGTTGGTGGGGGGGTAAGGGCCTTACTCAAAGGCTCAGAGAGGGCCAAATGAGGGTGGAGGCAGGTGTAGATGTTTCACCTTTTCCACCCACATTTTGATGTTGTCGGTCTGGGGAGTCGAACCAGCGACCTTCTGGTCACAGGCCCACCTTCTCTAACCTCTGTGCCACCGATCCCCTTCCTATCCGTTTCTTCCTTTTAGGATCGTGGGGGTCACTGGTGCCCATGTCCAGCAGTCACTGTGCGAGAGGCGGGGGGACACCCTGGACAGGTCTCCAGTCCATCACAGGGACACATAGAGACAAACAACCATTCACTCTCTCACTCACACCTAGGGACAATTTAGAGTTACCTGTCGGTCTAACATGCATGTTTTTTTGTCTGTGGGAGGAAACTGGAGCACCCGGAGAAAACCCACACATGCACGGAGAGAACATGCAAACTCCACCCAGAAAGGCCCCAGTCGGGATTTGAACCAGCGACCTTCTCGCTGAGCCAGCAGCTCTACCAACTGCACCGCCTCACTTTTATTTAAATCAACTGTGAAGTGATCAACAAGTGAAGGATTTTGACCAGAGGAGTTTCAGGAGGCTGTTTAGGCTCCGGGTGGGGGCTATAAAGTATCAAAGGGGGGGCTGAGGGAAAGTAATTAGATGTTACAATTTGGTATGAGTTTGCTGATACTCACCAACAGGCAACAGCTCTGCCAGCTGTTCCACTGTGCCACCTTGGGGTAACCATTACGCACCAAAATGGACGTTGCTTATTTTGGGATTTATCCAGCTCACAAGATGAACCCCTCCACAATGATTTTAAACATGACAGATAATATGTATTTATCTCAACTGCAAAGAGACCTAACGTTCAGCTGACCTCCTCATGAACCTGTAGACATGAACCGGGTAACTTTAAAAGAAAACGTTTCACTTCAAGTGGAGACGCAGCCTCGAGCAAAAAAACTCAACAGAGTTTTATTACAACAAGTTCCGTAGCTCAATTTGTTCTGCCATGTCTGCTGCTGCTTTCTGAGCTTTAGCGTTCTTGGAAAGAGATGAACAACAACACGGATCCTTCCTGGATTCAGTTTTGATTTAGACTGGCTCTGGATTTTTGCCTCAAAGAGTAAAAATGTAAGAGTAAAAGTTATGAAGAGCAACACATCTGTTCTTAGAATGACTCTGAAACTTCCTGCTAACACAGACCCTCAGTGACACCAAAACCAGCACGACTGTTTCAGGTCTGAAACTGATATGTTGCTTTTTGCCAAAATGACCAGAATAAACAGAATGTGGACAAGGGGCACCAAATATTACAGCTTTGCTACCGGAGGATCATGAAATAGAAGCAAAAACTCAAAAAAACAACAATTACATTCAACATCCATAAAGACAATTCTGGCAACAAGAGATGGAGTTGTAAAGAAACATAAATATGTAGAGGTTACTGAGTGTAGAAGAAGAATAGAAACTCTGACGCAGACAATACCTCTGACAGCAGCAGCAGGGCTCCTTCTTATTCTCTCTTCTATAATAAGGAAGTCTCCAGATCTTGTACCTGCCTGTCTCGGTCCCTCCTACACACCTGCCTCTGTTTGTGCACAGTTCAGAGCCGCACCTTGATTTTTGTTTACTTCCACAGACTGGACTCTTATCAGCTGCCTGTGAGACGGATTTACCTGAACACCTGAGTGGGGAGAGCCATCAATAGTTTATCTTTGCGGTCAGCAGGTGAGGTCAGATTTCTTTCCCATTTCCTGTAAACTATGAGTTAACAGTTTGGTTCTGATGCAATATTTGGCTTGTATTCATCATGAGTTGCTACTGTTTATAGCAGGGCTATTCAACTGGCGGTCCTGGGGCCAAATCAGGCCCACGGGTGTGCTCAGTTCGGCCCGCCAATGGGTTCTTTTTTTAAATAAAACTAGACTTTACATTGTAAAACAAACTTACTTAATGAGAATAACTGATGCCCCTGAGCTCTTAGCTTTCAGTAAATGTGGCCCCCTGTGCAGTTTAGTTCAGTGGTTCCCAACCGTGGTCCTTGAGGAACACCATCCTGCATGTTTTAGTTGCTTCCCTGCTGATTTGATTTGAATTGAATGATTTGACCTGATTTGAATGAATGGGGGATTAACAGGCTTCTAACTGGATGAAGGAATTAAATCACTGAATCAGATTCAGGATGGTGTTCCTCAAGGACCACGGTTGGGAACCACTGGTTTAGTTGAATAGCCCATAGTGGCAAAATCCAGAGAGGTCTGCAGATTTAATCCTGAGGAGGTGTCAAGCAATTAATAAACACAAACGGCTGGAGAATACTGTTAAACTAAAGATCAAATGTAGAAACTGAAGTCAGGGATAGACGCTGTTCATAGTTAATATAGTGAAGAACACGAAGCTGTTTTATGCCTGAATGTGAAAAATGAAGTCCTAAAAGCAGCACTCACCTGCTGGGAGGTTCTGCTCTGGTGGAGACAAGCTGAGATGGTCCACTAAGGCTTCTTGGAGATGTCCCACAGATCTACAGAAGTGTCCGCCACACCTTCCTCAGAACCAAAATGAGTTTTAATCCTCTGCTCTGACGACTTCCTCATAAACTCACAGCCTGAAAACTGGTCTGACGAGAACATCCCTGAAGCCGGATGTGTTGCACAAAGGCCGATATGTTGTGTGGCAGGTGGGCGGCTGAAACCCAGCACCTTCAGTTTCCCACCTACACCCCCACCCCCCCTAAGGTGAAACAAGTCAAAACCTGTCCTTCTTGTCCTCTTTGTTTCTCCTAAATAAACTCCCAAATTTCAGGCAACTCGTGTCACTAAAATAAACTCCAAATTTAGTCTTGTCTGTCTCTTTTAAGTCAGTCTTGGATTTTGCACCAGTGGTCTGTCACGTTGAATTAACCTCTCTAATAAGCCACATCCTCAGAGAGCTGTGGGAATAAAACAAACTGGCAGGCGTCCACCATTCAGGGCTGAACTGTTACAGAGAACAGAAGCACATTGACTCCCTCACGCTGACAAAAGCTTGTCAGGCTGATCCCAGCTTTAAAGCCGTAGCAGCCTGAGGAAGGTTGCTCTTTTAAACAATAATACTGGGGTGAAACCAGGTTGGAGACTGACAAACAAATCAGAAAACATTCCTCCAACAGGTTCTGATGTGACAAGACATTTTCCTGAGATGGAATCCAAAACATTCAAGATTCTGATAAAACTGCAAAAGTCAGCAGTTTCACTTGTGACTGACTGAAGGTCGAAGCGAACTCTGATGGCGTCTTCAAAGAAGAAATGTATTTATCAAGAGGTTCTTGGCTTGTATACACCAGATAATCAGAAAGCTGCCTTCCTGTTGGACACGATTCATTAAGCAGCTCTTTAAAGTCTCACAAGAAACACCAAAAAAACAGACTAAATCCCTTTAAAATACAAACATTTATACATTTTATGATGAGACGGTGTTTTATTTTTAACAACTTTAACTCAATCCGTACATTTTCTAATACTGCTATATTTTATTGTTTGTTACAGTAGCTTCACACAGTGCTGTAAACTGTTAGACTTTAGCAAAACAACAGAATTAAAATAGTAGATTTTATGTGAACACATCCATTGAGACAGCACTGAGTACAAAACAAAGTGAAGAAATAAAATATACTGCATTATACCGTTACATATCACAGCGTTTCACAACACGTCATATATGTACGATACATAACATTGTAACTGACAGATCATAATGTATTGTATCACAATGTATCACTTCACAACATGTTGCAACAAATTGCATCAAATCACATCATATGGCTATTGCAAGGCAATGCACATTATTCATAATGCTTTGTTACATAATGCATCTAAACGTGTTGCAATGTATCCCATCTCACCATCAAATTGCAATTTGCTGGGCAGCACGGTGGTGCAGTTGGTAGAGCTGCTGCCTCTCAGCGAGCAGGTTGCCCTGGTTCAAACCCCGGTCCAGGGGCCTTTCTGGGTGAAGTTTGCATGTTCTCTCCGTGCATGCGTGGGTTTTCTCCAGGTGCTCCGGTTTCCTCCCACAGACCAAAAACATGCATGTTAGGCTGATTGGTAACTCTAATGCCCCTGGGTGTGTGAGAGAGTGAATGGTTGTTTGTCTTGTTTGTCTCTATGTGTCCCTATGATGGACTGGAGACCTGTCCAGGGTGTCCCCCACCTCTCGCACAGTGAGAGCTGGACATGGGCATCAGTGACCCCCTCGACCTGAAAAGGAAGCGGGTAAACATAATGGATGGATGAAGGTTCTTTATTGTCATTCTCATCACATGTGGCACATGAGGTGGAACAAAATTGTGTACTCAAGGACCCTGTTACACCCAAACATAGAAAAATATAAAGTATAAAAAGACAGTATACAGTAGTCCCTCGTTTATCGCAAGGGTTCTGTATCCTGACCCCCCCCCCCCCCAAGATAAGTGAAAAACCACCAAGTAGGGATACAGTAGTCCAAGTACAGTAAACTTTATATTAAGGCTTTAGAAACCCTTCCCATACTCTTGTAATGTTCTAAACTCTTCAACCTACGACATTTTAACAACATATGTTACTAAATTTTACTTATAGCTCTGCAGAACAGCAACAGCTCTGGTTCTGGTCCAACTCTGTTCTATTCCGACTCAGTTCGTTTTTGCAGAACTATCCTGCAGCGATGAAGCCACAAGTCAGTCCTCTAAACTCTTAAACCTACTAATTTTAACAACATACAGTACTTACATTTAGCTACTAAATTTTACAAGGGCTCAGCAGAACAGCAGCGGCTTGGTTCCGTCCGACCCGATAGATGAAAAATGTCCCGGTGCAGCATGACTGAAGCCCCATCCAGCTTGATGTGCTTCTGCTCCAAGAGCAGGGCTGCCCAGGATTTAATCCACTGCCTCTGGCCCAGTCCAGACCAGCACCGCACAACCAGAACCAGGCTGAAGCCTGCAGCCGTCTGTCTTCTGCAGCCCCCAGGATCCGGGTCACACTGAGTCCAGATCACCTGCAGTCCAGCTACTCAGCAGTGAAGATACAACTTGAAGGATGAGTTCAGCTTCAGAATTATTTGTGTCTTTCTTGCCAGTCCTGCTTATCCTTACAAAACTTCTGACTTTGTGCTGCAAAACTTTCCCTCCATTTGGAGCAAGCAGCGGTTGGAAGCAGTGTTGACTTCTGGGAAGTGAACTGATGGTTTCTGGGTAAACTGGCAAACCAATGAAGGCTTAATGAAAGAAAACTACAAAATGGTGGCACTTTTTTTTATTTATTTTCATTTTTATTTTATTATTTATTTGGAAAATATTATGTACAGTACTGTACGTCCACAAACCGCGATAGAGCGAGTACATGAAAGACTATTGTATGCTAAACAATAATAATGTAATTTAATAATTATGTTGTATTAAATAGCAGCCTGAACATGAGTCTGTTGTGAGCAGATGGGTATGAATACAGCAGCATGGAGACTCAGCAGCACAGATAAAATGTCAAATCTTCAATTAAAGTGCATCACAGTGAGGGATTCGTGAGTCTAACAGCCTCAGGGTAGAAGCTGTTCCTCAGTCTAGTGGTTCTACACTTAATGCTCCTCAACCTCCTGTCTGAAGGGAGCGGGGCAAAAATTGTGTGTGCTGGGTGAGTGGGGTCATTCATGATGCAGATCGTATTCTGACTGCATCTAGAGGTGTAGAAGTCCTCACTGCACTGGCTACCGGTTCACCTTCGAATCCAGTTCAAAATACTCATTATGTCCAAAAAACCCTGAACAGTCCCCCCCCCCCCACCCCCCCCCACCCTCTGATCTGCTACAACCGTATGTCCCACCATGCTCCCTGAGGTCAGCGGACCAGTTGCTCCTCACAGTTCCAGGAACTTGTCTTAAGTGCAGAGGTGACAGGGCCTTCTCTGTAGCAGGACCAAGACTTTGGAATGAGTTACCTCTGCTTGTCAGACAGGCCCCCTCCCTCTCGGTTTTCAAGTCCCGTTTAAAAACCCACTATACTATTCGGTAGGTTTGTCGTCATTATCTGCATCGTTTTTATGTCTATATTCTGATTTACTTGATTTTGTATTTTGCTTTGTGTGTTACCTGTTGTTCTGTCTGTACAGCACTTTGGTTGGCCTTGTCGCTGTTTTAAGTGCTCTATAAATAAAATGGTATGGTGTGGTAAGTCTGTGATGGTGGGGAGGCTGACTCCTTCATCATTCTCTGCAGAGCTTTCCTGTCTCCATCTGTGTAGCCCCCGTTCCAGCTGGACACAATTTTTTTTTTGAATAATACCTCTGATGTGTGCGACAGACTAATCCTGGTTGGTAATTACAAGTTTAATGTCAGAACTTGTGTCTTCAAAACACTTGGAAACAGAGCTGAGTAATGTTTTCTAAAGACAGTTTATATGAGATGATAACTGATTTAAAAAAATCTTGTGGACAGATTCCTGTTAAACTGTTGATTTAGACGGTCACCTTAAACTTGGTGGATCAATTCTTTTTCTTTAACTCTTTCCTTGAGATTTATT